CCTTTAATTATCATCTCGGTTCTTTGGAAGCATACCGAATCACAAGTAGGATCCGTCAAAAGTAGTTATGAACGAGACGTAACAGAGAAAGAAAGAGAGAGAGAGAGAGAGAGAGAGAGAGAGAGAGAGAGAGAGAGAGAGAGAGAGAAATGGTTTTTCATTCCGATTTCATGTTATCCAAAGGACCGTTCACAGTTATTCGTCGGGACACTCTATTAATATTAAACAACATTTTAATGAATTTTCCTCGTCTTCTTGGTAGGGTCGGTCTGTCGTCTTCTATCCAATCGGATTTCAAATAGAAAATTCAGAGACAACTCCGGAGTCAGATGAGTGTGAGATAAATAACGTCATAATATATAACTATAATAACGTGACAAAATTGACACCTCCTCCTCTAGTCGGTTAAAACGATTTTACGATTTGTTTTTTTTTCTTTTTTTTTTCCTTTTATTTATTCTTATTCTTATTTTCATTATTCCGTTGATAATAAAACATAGGAATATGTGACACTTGGATTTTTGTAAGAAAATATATGTACCTATAATTATGAAAGTGTTCTAAGTCATATTATATCTTTTGTTTCGAGATATTTAACAAGGGATTACATTTTGAACACTAAAAATGAATTCTATATAACTACTATCTAACGGTTCATTTTTTTCTTGACAATATCGTGAAAATTACATTGAATTAATTTAATTTAAAATAGTGTGATTTGAAATAATTGATAAACTTATTTGTTGTTTAAATTTTGACTTACAATTAGATTAGTCTCATAATCATGGGCACATATAAAATAAAAAAAAAGAAAAATTAAAAAATAAAAAAGAAAAAAAAAAACGACGTTAGAATTTATCGCGAAATTTCGTTTAAAACTGTATCCTGAAAAGAAATTGGAAGTAGATGGATAGTTTGTTCGTCTATCCGTCTAGGGACGATGATCGGTTCCGACTGGTAAACATTGAAAACTCGGGAATCTACGAAAACTCTTTTCTCCCTTGCACACATTTACAGATCAATCGTGTGCTAACTGCATTTTTCATCCTTAGTCCTCGTTCTACGGTGTCTTTTTTCCTACGATTTTTATTACAAAAAAGTAAAGCAACGAGAAAAAGGTAAATTTCTTTTTTTTTTCCCCTCCATGGGTGAAAAGCTTCTTCTTCTTCTTCTCTCTTTCTTTCTTTCTCAAGGACATACCTCTCGTCAAATCGGTAAACGTTTTATCGAAGATTTAAGAAGAAACGTTAAAACTCCCGAACGAATCGGATCCCTTAGATTTACTTACCGAACTTTTTCAATCCTAAAACTTAATCGTTATTCCATCGAGTAAAAAGAAATAAAAAAAGAAAAAAAGGGATAGAAGAAGAAGAAAAGGATAGAAAATGAAAAAAGAAAAGGAAAAGAAAGATAGATAGAGGTATCTTTTCAAATACGCGACGAATAATTTTTCTCACACGTTTAAGGATAATACTATACGCATAAGTTTTACGTTGGCATGCATAAACGATCGAGCTTAGGAATATTTTTCTTCTTAGCAAACCATTGAATACTATAACGCGAGACGGATGATGGTTCTTTTCTTCTTATTCTTCTTCTTCGGTTCTTTTTTTTTTTCGTTCTTTCTTTCTTTTTTTAGGTATGGTCGTGAACGGATTCGTTAACGTTGTGATAACAACTATCGAAAAAAGATTCGGACTTAGGTCATCTCAAACCGGATTGATAGCAGGCGGATACGACATTGCAAGTTTTCTTTTACTCGTACCGGTCAGTTATCTCGGTGGTCGTTCGAAAGCATCAAAACCAAGGTCAGTGATACGCTGTTAATGCATTTAAGTATGCCCAATGCATCCCTTTTTACCACATTTATCCTATCCCTATTTATATTAATATAATCGATATAATTCAACCATAACGCGATTGTCATAAGTATTAATTTTTGTTTCACCCCACCTATTTGCCTCCCCCCTCCTGCACCTTATCTATACTCGACAATTAAAAATCACCTTTAAATTTTATCCCGTCATATTTCGTTCTACGTTATTATATTGTTTTTTTTTTTTATTTTTTATTGCAAGCAACGATTAAAGATTGAAATTAGTTCAACGAATTTGATTCGTGGAATAATGTGAATAAATTGTATATTGAAAATCTTGTTTATTCTTAGGTACATCGGTGTTGGTGTTCTAGTCTTAGGTTTAGGAAGTTTACTATTTGCATCCCCTCATTATTTGATTGGCCCATACAGAGGTGGTCAAAAATCGGAGAACATATGTCAAAAAGCGAATAACGTATCAACTCGTTCAGTAAGTTAGGTTTCTTTGTTTTTCTTTTTTTCGTTCTCATATGTAAATAGGATCACGTTAACGACGTTAGAATTTTATTCGTTAAATTTTTTAGGTATCGTGCAGTGACATCAATGGACACGTTGACGATCAGCAGGAACCTTATAGCGGAATGTACTTAATTATATTTTTGGTTGCACAATTATTACACGGTGCCGGTGCAGCACCCTTTTATACACTTGGTGTAACTTATTTGGACGAGAATGTATCGAAAAAAATGTCTTCTGTATATTTAGGTGAGATAATTGGTGGAAAACATTGAACAAGGTATTGTTAATCGTGATCTGATCTGTGAACGTCATTTTAATGTCAATCAAAATATTTTATACAGGTATCTATTACACAATGGCGGTAATAGGACCAGCTTTGGGATACGTGGTTGGTGGTGAACTTTTAAAACTTTATACTGATTTTATCATCATCGATCCTACAACGTAAGTACTTGTACTTTTTATCTTATATATATATATATTACATATAATATATGTTATAGTAGGTATAATTATATTAATAACTATATTATATATAATATATACTATAACAGAAGATTTTTTTTTTAAATTGATTTGTTTAATATGTGTGT